GAAAGCTACCCATATCATGATATATATGCATCGATAAATCCAGAATACAATAACAGAAATCGAAAGAAAACACCGAATAATAACAGTGAACAAGCAGTTAAACTTAAACTCCTACTTTTTAAAGAGAAAATTAGAAGATAGGGACCATGAAGTGTGTAAGCAAAGCAGGAGATGCGTTACTCATCATCCTTGTAGGGATACTCCTCCGGAACTTGCTTCAGAAGTTTCACCTGCAACTCATAGGCATCATCCCCTCGAAGCATATCACGCAGCCAAGTGACTTCTGTCTTCATTGACACCTGAAAAGAGGGAGGAATACATTATAACTAGAGAGAAATTGATTTGGGGATCATGCCTGGTGCTTGCACCATATGAAAAAGTAAGCAATATCTGCATCCTATTCTTTATGATCTTTGTTTTCTTAATTACTGCCAAGTGAACGATTTCAACGTGATAAATATGGAATATTGAAAAGCAGTAATCAAATAATTTCCGACGCACAGTATTGCCTTTGCCTGTGATGTGGATTTTTAAAAACAAACTTTGTCCTAGAAGTAAATCTACAAGATTTTTATCTAATTACGGTGAACTGTCCTGCTAATCTATTTAAGAATGTTATGTAGGAGGATGTAGAAGCGTGACAATAAGCTTTGGTCAAATGTAGAGCCAACCACAGAGAAAAAAGAAAGAGACACAATTTTACAAATATGTGAGGCGGCATACATTTCATTGATGTTTAATAAAATGGATGAAACTCACCATTTCCAGAGCTCCTCTGATGACTCCACTTAATATGTTGCAATAGTAGAGACCCTGACATGTATCAGGCAGCTCAACAAAGTCTACCAAGGGATTGTCCTCCAGAACAATGCTGCAACATGTCCCGTCAGCATCCCAATTTGTCACAGATGCAGTGACCCCTAAGAACATCTTGAAACCAACCTGTAACAAAGATTCATTAGGGACTATAAATGAAGACCTCTTTCATTTATTCATTGGATAATTAAGGGGGTATACAAATGGCTCTTGAACAAAAATGTCAAGTTAATATCTCAAACCAACCATATTTCTATACATAATACTATATAGAAAACAAAGATGTTCATTTGAAAAGTAAAAGAATAATAATATACCTTTGCAATCACTTCTGCTGTCTCCTTGAAGTCAACACATCTGGACACGTTAGATTTTGCCAGAAACTCATCAATCAGTCGAATGCCAATATTATAGCCCCTGTGAGGTAATCAAGTTGTTGAATGAATGTAGTCTAATTTCGAAATAACAAACTCATCCTAGATAAAGACAATGTCCCAATGAAATATCAACAAGAATTAAGATTTTCTGGAATCATGTTACAAGTATTGGACCACTCTGTTCCAAGGGACAAATAGTCCAGGGATGATAAATCAAAGCACACGAAGTAAAACCATGGTGAAATGAAAGATAGCACTGTCCGGATGAACAGAGTGAAACACAGGGATACAAAAACAAACATGCATGTGTGCACTGGCGCAGACACAATTATTTGAATGTAATTATATATAATCCAAAAAAAAAAGGATAAGCGAATTTTGTATCTCTATAAGTAATTTCCATTTGCAACAATTCTTAAGAGATATCACTGCATCATTAAAAGAACAACCTTACAAAGATCAAACCTCCAAAAGAATTGAATTGCACAATAAACACCATCAATAACTATTAATAAAACTAAAAACCAAGAGCATAGAGTCTGAAGTATACATCTGATCAAGCTGTTTGTTGACTTCCTCGACTTCCTCTAGATCCGTAAGCAATTGACGCACAATTGCACCATAAGTCAAGGTAAACAGCTCCGCATTCTACATCAATTCAATTTCAAAGATTAGAAACACACACTAACCATCAATAAGATCATAATAATCAATTCGTTTGCCCAAAAAAATGCATCAAATGAAATGAAATCAGACGAAACTATCAGATTCCACATAAATAGATATGCGTTCACTGCAATTTTCTCCAAAAGCAAAAGAATTAACACCTCAGACGATCTGCCATCACTACTTGTTCTTCTCATATATTTTCTCGGAAACCAAACAGAGTAAACTAGAATTTCGAGATTTCTTTAGAAATTCTTACCACGCGTTCAATACTAGCGAAGATCGCATCGCCGGATCGAGGACCAGCAGGAGGCATTCTTAACGATCTGATGCGAATCGAACTCAACTCAGTGAGCTGCTCTCTCCTTCCTTTCTTGCGAATTTTTCACTGGTTTTCGGGGTTTCTGTAGAAAAAGAAATGCTTCTACTGGCGTTGAAAAAGAGAGATGAAGGAGAACATGGGCTTTTATGGGCCAGAACTTAACACGGGCTTACAGGCTTACCATTATAGGCCCTATAACGGCCTGCTTGTTTTATTTCATTTTTTTTCTTAATGATTTTGTTGCTCACGCTCATTATGAGCGCGTGGCTTAACAGAAGTTCGAATCTTCCAAGAAAAGAGTCCAACTCCTTAATGGTTAAGAATGCATTTAGGTCCTTATATTAATAAATTTGAAGTTGTTAATCCTTTACTTTATATTATAAAGATTTTATTCCTTGAATTTTAAGGTTTGAAGATTTTAATCTCTAAATTATCAAAATCCATTAACTCTCAAAAATAAAATATTTATAAGATTAATCTTCAAAAATTAAAAATATAACAATTTAGTTTTAAAAGTTCAAAAATTAAAAAATTAGTAAATTAAAAAAATTAGTAGATGACTTTGCCACATACACTATAACAATATTAAATATTTACAATCAAATTAAGTAATTAACTCAATCTAAATAAATAAATTTGATTGAGATTAATAAAAATTTTTTGATTATATTTTTCCAATCTCTTAAACTTTTTATTTTAACTCAACTAAGAATTTTTTTAAATATCAATCTAGATTCTTTCTTCAAATTGAGTTAATTGCTCAATTTGTTTGTAAATATCTAATATTGTTCTCGTGTATATGACAAAATTATCCACTAATTTTTTATCTTAATTCAACTAAGAATTTTTTTAATTTCAATCTGGATTCTTTCTTCAAATTGAGTTAATTGCTCAATTTGTTATAAATATCTAATACTATTCTAGCATATATGTATATGAGAAAATCATCTATTAATTTCTTTTAGTTTACTAATTCCTTTAATTTTAAACTTTTGAAACTAAATTGTTATTTTTTAAAATTTTGAAAATTAATCATATAAATACTTTATTCTCATTTTAATAGCAAGTTAATAGATTCTATTATTTTAGAGGTTAAACACTTCATAATATAAAATAGGGATTAAAAACTTCAAATATAATAAGATAAGGGTAAATGCAAATTTTACCCTCCCTTCCTTAATTAGGTTTCTAATCCTAAATTTGGCTACCTAATCCTATCAGCGCAGGTAAGGACAAAAACCCTAATCTTTTGACGTGGCACACCTCAATTGGTTAACTCTAAGGGCATAGTCGTCATTTAACACCTCATTACGGTCCTCTAAATTCAGGAGCTTCGATCCCATGTTCATCGCTCGATTTTCTGTGTTTCTGCAAAACTCTTGAAATACTCTCTCAAGGTAAGAGCTTCTGATATGCTTCTTTCTTTCGATTTAGATCGTCTGATCTTCTGCTGCGGATTTGATTTCTGTTTTTTGAATTTTATTGATAAACAGTAGTAATTATTAGAGTAAATTTGAGTTAGATTTAGGGTTTTGCTCGTTCTGTAGAATCTTTTTATTATGAAAT